GGGGCGACCCGCGGGGTTGTGATCCCGTTGCGGGTCCAAAAAAAAAAAAAAAAAAAAAAAAAAAAAAAAAAAGGAAAGAACTAGAGTGTGTTTCTCCTTGACCTCAAGTGAATTAATTCTAGCAAGGGTCATTTTTTAGTCATATTTTAAAATGGTTTTAAGCCCACCAATTTCATTTGTAGTCATTCTTACATTCATTTTCTACGTAATGAATTGAATATTATTGGCTATTTTTACTTACAAGAAAGTAAATATTTTTGTCTCTTGTTAGAAATTCTGTGAAATGGTAGAGAGGTTCATATTTCTGAGTAGTGCAGGTAGGTGGGTTTTACGTATTTTAGGATTATTCTATTTATAAAGTTTATACATTCTATTTTCTTTTCAATTTGAATATTCTGAGGCAAAGTGATATTTGTAGTACACCATAAGAATTAGAAAAATATTGAAGATCTAATAAAGGGAATTTAATGATTTAAATAAAAATTCAGGAAATAACATTTTATGAAAGGGCTGGACAGTTAGCTAAGTTGGTTAGAGCATGGTGTTGATAACATCAAGGTCAAGAGTTTGGATCCCTGTACCAGCCAGCCACCAAAAAAAAAAAAAATTTAATGAGTATTTCTAGATCGGTATTTATTCATAGGATGCTTCCTTTTAGTAGGATCAACTCTTTTTATCTCTAAAAATCAGTACAGGATTCTATAACCATAAGGGAATTAAGCGAAGATTAGTCTCTGTAGGTACTTTGACTTTTCCCTTAAACAGTGGTTCTCAGTCTTGTCTGTCCATTGGAATTATTTGAAGACCTTTAAAAAATACTGATGTCTGCTTTGGTCCCACCCCTGGAGATCCTGATGTTATTAGTCTGGTGTGGCATGTGTTTTGGTATTTTTAAAGCCTCCTCAATCCTTTGTAAACTTTAAAGGATTCTGATGTGCAGTCAGTGTTGACAGTCCCTGGTGTAGAGGGGCAGCAATAACCTATGTTTTTTGCACTTGAAGATGGGGCAAGAGGAAGGGAAAAATGGCCTGTGACCCTGGGATAGTCCAGAGGCCTACCTGGGCTCTGCTTTGTGGATGAGGTTCAAGGAAAAATGGGATTGCGTACACAGTATAAATTATACAGACCCCAGTTAGTAAACATTTAGGCAGTTGGTGTTCCATTAGTCTAATCAAGTCTGTTCATTGCTTAATCAGTGGGATTATACTTCTCTAAAAGAAAGTCCTTGAAAATGGTGGTTGTTAGTAGCACCCAGATCTGTGATTACTGTCTTAGTCCATTTGGGCTGCTATAACAAAATGCCTTAGGCTGGATAATTTATAAACAACAGAAATTAATTGCTCACAGTTCTAGAGGCTGAGAAGTCCAAGATCAAGGTGGCAGCAAATCTGGTGTCTGGTGAGGGCTTGCTCTCTGCTTCAAAGATGATCTGGTTATGCAGGTAGTGCATTTCCATGTGTACCAACCATGCAGGGCTCATTGTCAGCACAGCTGCTTTAAAAATTTTTTAAAAAATAAATAAATAAATAAATTAATTTTTTAAAAAGATGGCACCTTCTTACTGAGTCCTCACATGGTGGAAGGGGCAAAAAAGCTCCCTCAAGCCTCTTTTATAAGGGCACTACCCATTCATGAGGGCAGACCCCTCATGACCTCATCACCTCCCAAAGGCCCCACCTGTTAATACTATCACATTGGATATTAGGTTCCAACATATGAATTGTGGGAGACACCAACATTCAGACCATAGCAATCACCTTCACTTTAATTATTCTCTATACCTCTTGTAATTCTCCCTATGCTTCCCAGCCAGAGTTATTTTAAAAAACACAGGTTTCTCTATTTAGCAAAAATCAAATGCCAGCCGGCACGGTGGTAGCATTTTAGATATAACAGGGAAGAAGGTAGACATGCTCTCTATCCTCTTTGAATGAACAGTCTGCACAGGTAAGCAGGCAAGAAATAGGTAAAGTAGTGACAGAGTGTGGTAAGCCCTCTAAAGAAAATAAACAGGGAGCTGTGGTAGAGAATAACAGGGAAGATCCTCCTTAGATATTTATCTGAGACACTATTTGAATTAAGACCTGAGGAACGAGAAGGGGCAGAGCCAGGTAGAGGGAGGAGAGTGTGCCAGGCAGCTTAGCTCTGTGAGAGGGAAGAGTGGTGAGGGAGGGACTGCAGAGGTAAGGTGCCCTCAAGCAGGGCCAGTGACCAATGAACAGAGTGTACATTTCATTCCAGATGGTTGTAGGGAGTTTGCATTTTTTCTGATTGCCTCAGATGGGTTTTAAGTAGAGGGTGACATGAAACAATTTACATTGTAAGGTCACTCTGGCTGCTGCGGCCTCTGGAAGGAATTGGAGATCCTGCCAAACTATTGCCAGAAATTTATTTCCTTCCTTTCTCGCTCTTCTGCTTTTGCTCTTGCTATTTCCTCTCCTCGAGCCATCACAGGGAAGGGCACAGACTGTGTGTGATGGTCAGTGTTGGGCGTAGAGACTGCAGGGTGCAGGACTGAAATGGGAAGAGCTCATTTGGTGTCCCAACTTTTCTTGTGACTCATCCCCTTGGGAAATCTGTGGGTGAGGCTCAGGTGCACCTGGCTCCAGGTCAGGCCTTACCATGTGTTGGAGCATGTAGATAGCTGAAGGTTTGGCCAGTGCTCAGTGAAGGGGAACCAGTACCTTATCACGTTCCCTTTCTACTGGTTATTCTTATTTTCTATGTACATAATTTCCCTTTGAGCTCTTTGAGAATAGCACCTTTAATCCCTGACCTCTGTGTTTTCAGACTTTCGGCCACCCTATATAGGCAACTTGAAATCTAATTCCAGCCTGCTTTTTATCAAGAACTGTTGACAGAATTACCTTAATCTCCTTACTTCC